GCACCCATATTTCAGCTTAAATTATTAGTAGTGTAGTTGTCTATTTCCCCTTCAAGCTCTACTCCCCTTAGAGTAGTTCCACAACACCAGTAGAATTCATTGAGCCAAACACTGTCATTGATCTCCAAGTGTCCTTAGGACAGTGATTAGTACACTTAACATGGGCATAAGAGATAAGGGTTTGATTCCCACAGGACACATATTATTTTTAGAATTTCACATAACCTCATCTAATACATGAAATTCAAATAAAATTTAACATATTGGGTTCAGAAAAATTTTTAAACTAATTCCCTGAACTCCAACTTACTCCTTCTTCTGGAGACGTGAACTTAGTACTCCTCCCTGTCTTTGGCTAAACCAAGAAAAAGTCCTCAAATAAATTTATCTTATTATTTGCTAACATTAAATTTCCCAAAGCTATCCAAATTCCAGGACATCAACTAATAATCAAATATCCTGACTTTTATGTTTGCGGAAGTATGAAGATCTTGGAATTATCATTTATAAAGTCACTCATAATCATGGAATTCTTACTCTAATCCCTGCGCGGCCAAATGTTGAAACACAAGTAACTCTCAGGAGTTTTGAGTGCTAAACCCATGATATTCCATTCACCATCAAAATAATCTGTATCTGAATTATTAACAAGAATGTTGAGCTCATCATTTGTAGGTACCACATCATTCATCATTATGGTTTTCCAACTAATTTAAGCACTATTTGGCTAAATCAAGACAAATATCACCTGGATATCTGAGAGTTACCATTTCAAGTTTTTCCAATTTTTATTTGCCCATGATTTTTATGTAGTTAATGCAAGTTGATGAAGGATGAGGATGAAGTTGATTCAGGTTCAAGGGGCATTAGAGATGGAAATGATGGAGAGGTGTGACTCAAGAGGGCATCAGTGATAGTGGTATTGCACCGTCCTGAGTGTTGATGGTATGGTTAGGTGGTGAGGTGGAACACAAGTGGGTGTGGTTAGTGATTGTGAATATGGGAAAGTAGGATGGGAGTGGTGGCCACGGGTTGCTATACCAGGGTAGGATTGGATGAGTCCCTTCATGCAGGTGCCATCCGCTGTGGAGCTTATATAGGCGAGGGGGTGGCTGCGGGTCTCAGCAGTTGCTGCCGCTGAGGACATGGTCACGC